AAGTCTTTTAATCTGCAGGTGTCTTCCTCTTGAGTTCGCTTTCATAGCCTGCAATAACTTGAGGTGCTGTTCGCATGAGCTCTTCTCTGGTGAACCACCGATCTTCGCTGGGATCCAGATGATGTCTGAATCTGACACGATATTGCATTCTCGGTTATGGAGGGCGGCCTCTGCCTGGCGGTTTAGGCACTGGCATCATTTGATGCTCCACGATTCTGTCGATGTCGACTTCACCATCCATCGTTGGGGGCAGCATTGACCGTCTGGAGGGAAACTCTACAGATTCTGCGAAAGGTGCCAGCTTTGAGGCGTGAAAAACTGGGTGTGTGCGGAGGTGAGGTGGGATGCGTATCACATAAGAAGGTCCGTCCATCTGATCCCCAACTATGTCTAGGACCTCCCAGGGACCGAAGTACTATGGCATTAATTTTCTGGAGATTTTTAATTCCTGTCCCAGTTCAGATTACTTCACCCAGACTCTGTCCCCTACTTGAAAGTTAGAAGGTTGTCTGTGTACCTGATTTTTTGCGCCTGCGCCGCCGGTAAGCGCGCTAGCGCTCACACACTCACACGCTCACACTGCCCTCGACCTCGGGTCACGCGCGCGCCAGCCAGCGGGTTTGCCATCGCACGGTCACGCGCGAGCGCGCGCGCGCGCGAGAGAGAGAGAGAGAGAGAGAGGCAGGGAGTGGGAGAGAACGAGAGAGAGAGAGAGAGGCAGGGAGTGGGAGAGAACGAGAGAGAGAGAGAGAGAGAGAGAGAGAGAGAGAGAGAGAGAGAGACTACTCCGAAGTGTCAACCAGAGAGAGCGCGAACAGGAGCGAGAGGAAGAGTGAGAGAAAGGGAGAGAGAGGGAGTGAGAAAACGAAGTTTGTTGACGAAGGTCGCTGTCGAAGGAAGCACCAAGGAGGAATTTTCGAGCGATTACTCTAAGGCCGAAAACGAAGATTGTTGATAAAAGAAGCTCCAAGGTAGAATCTTCTCAAGAAGGTCCAAGCGCTACATGAGTGAGATTTTGAACATACTCTTCCGACTCCATCGACTCCCTAACATCATCACTAACATATTTTTTCTCCTCATCACCATCCCGGTCACTCGCCTCCCCGTTCTAATTTCCCATCTATTTCTATCAATCCTTTCCGCGAATCACCCCAGTCCAAGCGCTACATGAGTGAGATTTTTAACATACTCTTCCCACTCCATCGACTCCGTAACATCATCACTACATATTTTTTCTCCTCATCACCATCCCGGTCGCTCGCCTTCCCGTTCTAATTTCCCATCTATTTCTATCAATCCTTTTCGCGAATCGCTCAGTCCACTCAGTCTTCCCTTATTTCTCCACCCCCCCCCGCTCCCAACCACTCTTCCTCCCATCCACTTACCTCTTCAGCCTCCCGTCCTACTTAGACGTCTTGGCATCTTTTCTAGTCCGCCTCCCGGCCATACGCCCTTCTATTCATTTGGTCACCCACCAGAAATTTCCACGTTCACTTTCACTCATCCTTTCAATCGACCTCTCTTCCATCATCCTTCATTCCATCATTTGTATTTCTTTTCCCCCTACAACTCCTTTTCCTAATCACTCAACCACCAATATTTCTCTTGCCCGGCATACCAGCCGCCTCCCTGTATCACTCTTTCTGCCCGATCCCTCCCTCTTAACTCTCCTTTGTCATTCGTCAGCCACTAATTCGCACCTCCGTCCTTATCTCCAGATTCAACTCCATCCTACCAGCCATCGATCTGCAATCAGACTCGTTCTCATTCACACTTTTCATACATGTAAACAGCAGCGCAGCAAACTGGCGACATGGGCCCACTCAAAACTCAGAGATATGGTATCCAGATACGAGTTCACTTCCAATTGGCTATGACGACTCAGCGCCCAAACAACTTACTGTTCACATACACCGGATCACCCTAGATATCCCACACGCGTCACTCTGAACACTCACACGTACACACACGCTTCACACTAGACTACAGCTATGGCAGCTATGGCTGCCTCTACCCTATCGCTATGCTACGCTCCTTCTCTCTTGCCTACTTCAGCTCCGGGCTCACTGCAGACCTCCTTGCACAAGTCGTTGTGGCAGCGCTTCCGCATGGCTCACGCAGGAATCAATGAATGGTTGGGCGTTGCCTCTTGATTTATACTTCTGAAACTTGGTGGTCTGCCCCTTTCCATCGGCCCATGGTGCTCACAGTCCCTCGTGGTACTTGCTGGACCGGACTGGGACTGACTGGACCTTACCGCTAACTGACTGTGGACACACTGCTATCCTACCGAGGTCGTACTGCGATTGCACTGCAGTTTAGTCCACCACTTGACTCGCCACCTGACCACTTGCCCACTTGCCGACCTTCTAGAAGGGCTACAGCTAGACTTCTGGAACTCACTAGGACTTCTACTCTATAGATCTACAGATCGAACCCCTGCTACCTATGGACCTACGACAKGCCTACCAACTRTTTACKAATACACAGGTCACMGGTTCAACTCTCGGGGTTTACACAGGTACTGTACACGGGTAGGGCAAGGTCTAGGGATCGAGCCCTGGGATCTGCATCTGCTACTGAAAAAGGTGAAACCGTTTCACTCCGCCGTCCTAAATTCAAGGTCCTCCGAGAACATCTTAGTCCAAGGCGGGACCTTTACCTTTCTTGTCACGCTCATAGGCTCTGACTATGTCGGGAGCTGTTTCTAGAAGTTCTGTTCTTGTAAACCAGCGGTCGTCTTCCGGTTCCTGATAGGCAAACCGGACCTTATAATGCTTCTAAGGACGACCTCTACCTCCTGTTCTAAACACATCCTCGTCTACAATACCTTCAATGTCATAACTTTCGTCCATATCCGGAGGTGCAAACTCTTTAGCCTTGACCTAGACTAAGTCGCCTACCTGAAACTGCGACGGGCGGTGGTGCTTATTAGCCTGCTCTATCATTCTATGCTGGGCCTTCCTGAGGTTCTCTACAACTGTTGCTAGCTCTTTCTCGTGTTGTATCGCAAACTCCCTGGTACCGGGCGGTAGTCTGTGAATCTGATCCCGGTTCAGCCCTTTGAATGGTCTGCGCGGTCTAAAGGACTTGTGCAGCTCATTGGGAGTGCGACAGGTGGATAGATGCACACTGTTGTTGTACGCGCTAGCTACTTTGGGCAACATCTTGTCCCAGTTGATCTGGTCAGGTCTAATGTACATGCGCAGAACTTGCTGTAGGATCTTGTTCATCTGTTCAGTCTGACCGTTAGTCTCTGGATGGCGGCCAGACAACATTAACAACTTAGATCCGTAGACTCTCATGAGTTCTTGCCAGTTCTGGCTGGTGAAACGACTGTCTCTATCGCTAACTATTGACAATGGGATTCCATTCTCACTAACCCAAAAGTCAAAGAATTTCTATATAACTAAGTATGTACGTGCCTCTGCAGGCAAAGGAACAAAAACTGCATACTTACTAAAACGGTCAACTATGACCATGACTTGGCTTTTACCATGTCTGGTTTTGACTTGGGTGTCCATGAAGTCTATGGACACTGAGTCTCCTGGCTGATCAGGAATAGGCAAGGGTCTGAGAAGACCTAGAGGGGCGCGCGTAGTAGTCTTACTCCTCTGGCACACTTCGCAACTGCGAACATACTCTATACCAGGGCTGGTCCCTGGATGGACCGGGGACCCCTCCCCATCCGCAGTCCTTCCGATTGGACCGGCCGGTGGCCCGGGCCGGTTCCCTCCCGGTTGCCCCCAGCGCATTTTCACTGGGGGCTGAATTTTTTTTTTGTCGGCGCGTATGTGTTCCCAAGGCCTCGTGGGGGCGGGACCTGCCCCAGAATTTCGAAACAGGGTCCTGTAGGCCCAAATTTTTCAAGTACAGAAAGTGGCCAATCTTGGCCACCGATCGTCGCAGATCAGCGGCAAAGATCAGCTTGAACCCCATTTCTGTAAGAAAAACGGGCAGAGGATATCCGCCGCTGATCTATGCAGATCAGCAGCGGAGAACAGCCATGCGTTTTTCCTAAGATGTGGGTCGAGTAGGCCCCTTATCCAATTTGTCATCTTGTGGTCCAATGGACCAGTTACCATTGGCAACATCTGATGCTCTTTCACCCTCAGCCACGAGGGGAACACTATGCGTCTGATGAGACTCTGCTGAGATTATATCCTTCTGCGACGTCCCTGCCATCTGTGGAAAAAGTTATGGGTTCAGATTTTGGAATTGTGATTTCAGAGTTGTCCGAGGTGCAATCCCAAGAATGGACCTAAAATATAGGGCGTTGCTGCACTACTCTCGACATGCACAAAAGACAAAAATCTTGGCGGTGTACCTTTCCGAATTCTAGCAGAAGATTCACTCTCGTTTTGCACATTTCGAGAGTAGTGCAGCGAGGCCCATATTCTTCTCTCTATCTATCTCGAATGGACCTTGCTCCACTACATGTATCTGGACAGACTGCAAGACAAGATACTTCCGAACTGACAACTCACCTTATGTAGGAACCAACAAACAGAAAACGCTCTGCCTCCACGAGCAGCAGGTTGGAACCATAACTTTTCTGCTGTCGAAATATACTCTGGAGGAGCTATAATTCCGGGCAAGGACCTCCTCTCATCATCTCTGGTTAGCTCGTGGGGTATCAATATCAAATGACATACTCCACGAAGTGCTCCAGCGACGGGGGGGGTCGGATAAGTGAACTTGCTTACTTGACCCCTCCCTGAGGAAGCCGTAGTTGCCTGAATATGTCAATGATAACCCCCTGCCCCCCTCTGGAAGCCCCCTGAAAAATGTTGTACCTTAAAAATTTAATTGCGGATTCGGACAGGTCTTGAAGAGCGCAATCGGAATCTGCCCAAAAAAAAAAAAAAAAGATATTTGGGCACTTTTTTTTTCAAAACCGGTTTCCCAGTTCACCCCCCCTGGTCTGGTCCGGCTCCGATTGGACCGAGGTAGCTCAACCGGCTGGTTGTCGGCCCATCACTGCTCTATACAGTCGTTCTTCATTCCTGGCTTGGTATACGCATGCATTAGATTGGCTAATGTCTTTGCCAACCGAAATGTCCCTCAGTATCGTGGCATTCCCCGAGGATCAAACTGCGGACTTCTTCGCTGTTGGGAACGCACAGGTGGTCAAATACGTTAGTCTTCTCAAACAGCAACCCGTCTGTAGTGCGGTAATCTGGCTCGGTCTCTAGGGCCTCTCTAACTCTCTTTAGGAGGTCGCTATAGATAGGGTCCTGCGCATACGCTTGCTTCACTTTCTCATGCAGGTCTCTCCCTATATCCAGATAGTGTACTATGGCTCCAAAGTAGTTTGATTTCCTACTCAGAGCATCCGCCACTATGTTGTACTTGCCCTTCACTAGCTTAAGTTCAAAGTCATATTGGTCTATCTTTGCGGCCCACCTAGTCAACTTAGGTGTCATCTTGGCTTGAGTCTTTAACCACCTAAGGGTCTCGTGGTCAGAATACACTTTGAAGTGCCTCCCAAGCAGGTAGTGCTTCCAATGCTCTAAAGCCTGCCTGAGAGCGTAGAGTTCTCTCTCGTACGTGGAGGTAGCAACCTTCTTTGAGGGCATCCTCGCTGACATGAACTCTACGGGTCTATAGCCATTGCCGTCGTCTTGCTGTAACACGGCGCCTATTCCATACTGACTTGCGTTCGTGGTGACGACAAATGGCAAAGACGGATCGGCTACTTTGAGGACAGGGTACTCTATCAAGGCGCGCTTTAACTTCTTTAGCGCAGACGTACAGTCTTTGTCCCATTGCCAGATTGCCTCTTTCTTTAGCAACCTGCGCAACGGAGCGGCGATAGTGGAGAAGTTCCTCACGAACTTCCTATAGTAGTTAGCTAGGCCTAGAAACGACCGCAATTCTGTCAATGTGCGGGGCGTCGGCCAATCTCTAATCGCCGCTATCTTACTGTCCTCTGGCTTTATGCCATCTCCGTCTAATACGTGGCCCAAGTACAGGACTTGTGTCTTGGCCCACTCGCACTTCTTCGCGTTGATCTTGAAGTTAGCCTCTCGTAGCTTCTCCAAGACCTGCCTCAAATGACCCTGGTGCTCCTGGAGGGTCTTACTAAAAACTAGGCTATCATCTAAATAAACTACTACAAACTTGTCTAACCATGGCCTAAACAAGTCATTCATACAAAGCTGAAAGGTGGCTGGCGCGTTGGTTAGTCCAAAGGGCATCACTATAAACTCGTAGTGCCCATATCTAGTCCGGAACGCAGTCTTGTACTGGTCATCAGGGTGGACCTCTATCTGATGATAACCGGACTTCAGGTCTATCTTAGAAAAATACTTGCAACCCTGCACCCGATCTAGGAGATTGTCTATCCTGGGCAGCGACTCAGCAATCTTCAAGGTAATCGCATTCAAACCCCTATAGTCTATATACAGACGAAGCTCTACTTCCTTCTTTGGGACAAACAGGACTGGTGCTCCAAAAGGAGACAAACTGGGTCTGATCCAACCTTTCTCAAGGAGCTCATCTAACTGCTTGCGCAGCTCCTCTAATTCTCTAGGGGACATCTTATAGACTGCTCCCTTAGGAGTTCTACTGCCAGGCTCTATCTTTATCCTGTGCTGGATGGGTCGCGGCACTACTCCTGTCGGCGACTCAGTTAAGTCTTTGAATTCTTCCAGCAGCTTGGCTATGGTTGGATCTGTGGAACTCACTTCTTCCTTAGCCTCAGTGACAAGTCTAACGTAGACTACAAAGACCTGGTCTTCTAACTGCTCCTTTACTAGTCGCGCGAACGCAGGAGCACTGAGACAGCAATGTGCCAAGGTGTTGTCTACGCCTGACACATGAAACAGGCGGGCAGTCTTAACCTCGCCTGACGGACTAGGGAGCCTACACTCATGCTCTCTCAAGTGGAGTGTGGCCCCTGCTGCCTCTCCCCAATCCATTCCCAATACTATATCGAAAGGAAGGTCATCCTGTACGAGGAGAGTCAGGGAATGGAGAACTTTCTCCACCTTCTCATCCTTCTCTAGGCGAAAGTATGCCTGGACTCCCTCTACATAGTCCTCAACACGCATTGTGCGGTTGTCTGCGAGGACACTGACTATGGGGTCTGCTAACTTCTTGACTTTTAGTCCTAGCCTCAACTTCTTCAGCGCTCTACGGCTAATATAACTGCGGGTGGTCCCTGAGTCTATAAGGGCCCCTACTCTACTCCTGAAAACTTCTACATCTACCAAAATCACTTGTGTTTTACTCTCTTTCTTCATTTTGGCCCAGGCGGGCATCCTCTCCTTCAACTCTTTCGCCACACCTGTGAGGGACGTGCCTAGAGAGACGCTAACACAAGCAGTCTCTGGACAGCTATCTAGGCACGGGCCTGCAACCTCTGCCATAGGCTCATGTGGGTTGGGAGTGTCCTGTCCGCGCGCGCTCACTTCTCCACATGGCCTTGAAGTAGGGGCATTTGCAATCCCTACTCGCGGCTGCCTTTCGACTATTGAGCAGCCCAACGGGCCTGTCTATACTTCAAACAAAATTTAATGACATGGGCCGGGTCACCACAGAATACGCACTGACCCTTCTCCACGCGCTCCTGCCATATGCGCTGGTCCAAGCCCAAATCTTCCCAGGGCCTGCCCTGTGGCAAGCCTGGGTGCCATCCTCCTCGAGGTGCCCTTCCACCTCGTTGTTGTGGGGACCGATTAGAACCTTGGCGATTTGGCGGGGGACCTTGACCCCTACCTCCCACTTGGCGGTTTCCCTGTCTGCCAACGCCCTGTGCGCCCGGTCCTCGGCCTCCCGTGGCCTGGCCCCTTTGGCCCTGGCCTCTTCCTCTAACTAGCGGCCTCCCTCCAGCCGCGACAGCAGCATAGGACCTCCCCTGCCCCACACTACTATCCTCTTCCTCGAGGCCCAACTCAATCTGACTATATGGGACCTCGTCAGTACCACCTTCTTGAAAGACCTGCTGATCGCGTCGTCCTGTCTGCGACGTTAAATAATTCCTGAGGAGTTCGGGGGATCTCCTTAAATGCCTCCTGATCAGCAACAGGTCTAGTAGTGACAGCCATAGTGTAGGTCTAGGCTAGAGACTCTAGTTGGTTGGATCCCTGTCCGGATTCTGTGAGTCTTAGATTGAGTTTGTAGGTCTGTCAGTCAGGGGCTAGAGTCTACATGGTGAGGTTTGGAACAGCTATATCCGGTTGTGCACTGATCACCATGCTTGACACCCGGAGTGGGAAGAGCACTAGTCCCTACACCCCGGACCAGCAAGTGAAAATGGCCGCCTTAGTGAGAGAAAACAAGGAGAGGAAGGAGCTTGAGAAGCAGGCGAAGTTAAAGGCTATCGCAGAGGAGCAGGCGGCGAAGATGAAGAGATTGGAGGAGGAGATGAAGAGGGTTCAACAGGAGGAGGAAGAAAGAAGAAAGGCTGCTGAAGAAGAAGTAGCAGCAGAAGAAGAAAAAGAGAGAATGCGGATTGAGAGCGGAGAAGGGAGTAGTGGGACGATGAAGAGAGATACGGACGCAGAGATGGAGAAAAGGATAAGTGAGTGGGTCGCTAATTTATCGTTGGGAGAAGATGAGGAGGCGGAGTCTTATGTGACTCAGGATGAGAGGGATGCGCTAGCCAGCGAGCTAGCAGCAATGGAGGGTATGGAACGGCGAGAAAGGGAGGAGGAACAAAAGTTGGCATGGAAATTGAGGATGAAGAGGGAGAAGAAGAGGAGGAGAGAGGAAGTCAACAAACTGACCGCAGCGGTGGCCAAGGTGCAAGACCGTAGGAAAGAAGTGCAGGCCCAGCCAGATGATAAGGCGAAATGGGATAAGGTATTGGGGTACCTGGAGGTGCTGAGCACAACATGGATGGAGGAGCGCCAAGCGAGTTGGACCCAAGAGGTAGCCTTGAGTGCCATGCGGTCGGGATTTAGAGACTTTGCTCGCGATATAGTCACCCACATTGGGGGCGACGTCAAGCAACTGAGAGACAATGTGGGGAAGTTTTGTGAGGGCGCTATCGAGGGCGCTAAAGCGATAGCCGCTGTAGAGGGCGAGGCCAGGCCTCGCAAGGACCCAGTTAAGCTTAAATTCCCGAAAGCATATGAAGGGAAGAAGGAGGAGAACTTTGACAACTGGGAGGCCAGTGTCAATAGTTATGTGTATCTACAACACATCCTGTCAGAGGAACAAGTCCTCGTGGCCTTCCAGGCCCTTAAGGATGAGACGGTTAGTTTTGCCAGGTCCCTTGCGCGCGCAGCTGGTTGTGAAAACAACCTGGTTGCATATTCAAGAGTCACCCCCCTTCCTCAATTCTTCAAGCTCCTGAAGGAGCAATTTGCAGACCCAACGAGAGGCGTTCGCGCCTCTGATAAGCTACAAACGATCCACTCGCGACAGTGGAGGAGTGCGAGAGCACTCAAGGGCACCATGGACGACCTTGGTAGCCGTCCCAGACCATGGGGTCACTGAGACCCAATTGGTCCAGTTATTTTATCGTGCCATGCCAGAGGCCCTGCGTGGGCATTTCTTTGACAAATCTCGACAGGCCGGCATCACTTATGATGCATTGAGTAGAGAAGTCGTCCTGTATGAGTCAAAGTCCATGCCAGTTACCACCTTCTAGCACAAGGACTTAGATAAGGGGAAAAGGTGGAAAGGCCGTACCATCTCGGGCCAAGACTTAGACGGTCTGTTGTGCAGCCCACAACTCGGATTTCGGGCCTACCGTGCCACACCGAGCAGCCCGCCGGTCAGTACCAGTCCTTGGGAGGGTTCGTGTCCTCCGGGACAGTCAAGTCATCAAACACAGCTTTTAGCCCTACTCATCCCGTGTGGGTTTGGTCAACAAGACCCTATCCTTCATCCACAGAGTACTATCACCTAGGACAGAAGAGACTCGACGCAAAAAGAATAGACAGGCAGACTGGACTCAGCAAGTACCAAGGGGTGTGTGCACATCCATAGGGCGAGGGATAGGCTGAAGGCTTGGCGAGATGTTACCAGCTCCAGCTTGGTCAAAGTAGTGGTCAACGCCTTGGTCAACGCTGGTCAACGCTGCGGTCAACCCCCGGTCAACCCCCGGTCAACCCCCGGTCAACTCCGGTCAACGTCGATCAAAACCTCCGGTCAACCCCCGGTCAACTCTCCGGTCAACTATGGCTGCCGGCTCCTCTTCCTTGCCAACCCTCTTCTTCCTTTCACCCTCCTCGCCTCCTTTCACCCCGGCTGTCTTCTTCTTCTCTTTCCTTTTTTTTTTTTTTTTTTTTTTTGATCGGCTCTCTCTTTACCTCTCGGCTATCGGCCTCTTTCTCTCTCTTCTCAGTCTCTTCCCCTCTGTCTGGTCTTTCTCCCTCCTTCGGTACTCCGTGGTGACACTTCGCGGCGAGATGTTACTGGCTCCATCTTGGTCAAAGTCTTGGTCAACGGCGGTCAACGCTGCGGTCAACTCCGGTCAACGTCGGTCAACGCATCCGGTCAACCTCCGGTCAACTCTTCTGGTCAACCCTCCGGTCAGCTATGGCTGCCGGCTTCTCTTTCCCTTGCCAACCCTCTTCTTCCTCTCACCTTCCTTC